TGGTTAATGAAGTCGATAGCCTAAACAGACATACCGTCTACCTGATGACATGTTACACTACCCATGGTATGTTATGTCTGTATGGTCAGGTAATCAGGCTGAATTGATTAGCAGAGGCTGATGGGGAAATTGTTGATTGTATTATTGATGGTAATGATTTGAGCAGGGGGTGCGGCTGGTACTAGTTGACATACATATAAATAGATACCACAGTGTATGTGTGTGTGTGTGTACACTAGCATTTAGTCTCTGAATATATATAATTTTGATAGAAGCAAACAATTTCTTTTTAATTTGAAAAGGAGCCCCACTGAGATGGAAGATTCAGACTAATGCTTAGTCTTTGAATAAATATAATTTTGACAGAAGTAAACAATTTCTTTTTAATTTGAAAAGGAGCCCCAGTGAGATGGAGATCCTGAACCCGAGGAAATCTAGACTTGCTTCATTTAGGCTTTAGTATTGCAGATAGGGCTAGGCAGTAGGGTAAATAATGTGGCTGAGTTACTGTGAGACAGACAAGTGTACATGCACTCCTTTACAGGGGTGGAAATAACTTTAAAATTGCTGGTGTACTCCGGTACAGTGGCAGATGTAAAATCACTTGCCCTGATACTTTTTCCACTATACCGTCCGTTTTCTTGTTGATTTTTTAAATAAACAACATAATTAACATTGGAAAGTCAAATGGACACCAGTACAATGTGATATACAAATTTGCTTGCCCGACAGAAAAAACACTGGACTCTGATGTCGGGCAATGGGTTATTTCCACCCCTGCTTTACCTGTCCAGATCCTACTAAATGATAAAATATGCTACTTGTTGTTGCCCTTCCTGGCCCTAACATTAAGGTTGGTCACCTCGTAGTAGGATGTGCTTGTTAAACCATCATCACCTCTCAGTGACAGGAATAAGCAGCCATACAGACATGTTAATGGTCTCTGCCATGTTCGTGCAATAATCTTGACCACAAAGTTGTATTATTTTTAGGTTACTTTTCCATGCATACATCCCCCAGATGTTGCCAGATATAAAGTTAAACTGAAATTACTGAAACAGTCATGTGCAAACATTGCCACATAGTTAAACTCTTTATCAATGTGTTATGTTAATGTAACAGCAGCAAGTTTCGTTTCTGTAATTTGAGTATATTATTACTGTCATCAGTCTGAAAAAATGATCACCCATAGAGCTACCATGTACTGTCTACTGACTATGGGAACTGCAATGAAATCTCATTGAAATATTAAAGAAACTTTATGGATAACAACTTCTTTTATTTCGTGAGTGCGACATTTTGACATGCTTGAAATCTGTATCGAAACGTTGCACTCTCAAAATGCCACACAAAGACGTTATATAACTTGTCCTTCCAAATGTTATTAATCTCAGACTAATAGATTGACCTAGCTTATTTCAAAACCCTGTAATAAGCTTCTAACCATTTGTGTACTGATAATAAGCAACAACATATCTACTTGATCTAAGTTTTCATCGGCCAAATTACTACTAAGAGAAACACCCTATTCCTCCATGTTATACTTATGTATGCAGCATATATTTCTTCTGTCCTTGCATAAAAGATAACCTCTTTTGAGCGGCATTAATATTTAAAATCAAGAGTCAGTATTCATGATTAGATTTCTGAGAGGTAATTCATTTTATGATAAGACATTTATGATTGAAAACAAATTTGTACTTGCAATTTTGAGTTCATCATAACAAATTTAAAGTTTATGACATATATTATCAAGCAAACTGAAACTTCTGTGTTGGAAGATTTATGATCAAACTTTTGAAAAGGGCTGTGTTATGTTTAGCAGTGATCTAAAATAGTAAATCAATATGACATGCAGATGTGCAGTATGCGCAGGTACACATGACTGTACCTGTAATATTGACTGTACTCTCTGTAGCCCCAAACTGTCTGACATCGAGTTTTCAATAAGCGTTTGATTACATTGCCTATTGATTGTGCCCTGCTTGGTGTTTATTGTGTCTATTTAGCAATAATCACATGCTTAATGGAATTACTGTAATATGTATACCGTATTTACTGTATTACTCAGCCTACCCCTATATGCTCCTTCCGACTAACTTCTCGACCTTTAGATTGTAAAAAATGTTGTCATAGACTGTGTTTTATAAAATATTGTTATGTTAAAATGTATATAAAAAAATTGATTTTACACGTGACTGTGATTTAATAGACTTGTGTAGATGTGTGAAGATGTCTTGTTGCAATTAAGCTTGCAAAGTTAAACTTTGACCTCTTGCTGAAGAACTTAATAAGCACCTTTACTAAGAACAGATATTTACATAACAGTCCATATATTCTTCTTTATATTACAAATGTTTAGAATAAAAAGCAGAGCAGCACATGAGGGATATATATCATTGCCTTAACTATTATTAGAAACAGGGGATTTAGTTTCATTAGAGTGAGTGAGTGAGTATGGTTTTACGCCGCTTTTAGCAATATTCCAGCAATATCAAGGCGGGGGACACCAGAAATGGGCTTCACACATTGTACCCAAGTTTCATTAGAACTAACTTTCTTAGTATGGGGCGGTGGGGTAGCCTAGTGGTTAATATCAAGACCGGGTTCGATTCCCCACATGGGCACAATGTGTTAAGCCCATTTCTGGTGTCCCCCTGTGATATTGCTGGAATAGCGCGTAAAACTAAACTCTGTCAGTCAGTCTTAACGTGTATGGTTTTAATATGCACACCCTTCAATGTTGTAAATCATCATGGCAATGAATACTGAATGTACAGATAAATACTACAGTCAGTAGTTGAGTTGCTACTTCAATAAACTACTCAGGAAGGTGTATGTGTGATCTGTAGCAGCTGGGCATAATGACGCCATTGATCGGACAGTTGAGCGATGAAGCGTCAACACTTCTGCATGTTGTTCATGTTGATAAGTAATGCCATTGAATTCCATTGTCTTCAACTTTGAATACCTGTTTCTGTAACACAAAGCTAACACTTCATATATTTATAAATGTTTTAACCTGTGTAAAATGTAATGTCCAATTTGTAGTTCCAAGTGTTAAAGGGGGAGTGGGGTAGCCTAGTGGTTAAAACGTTTGCTCGTTACGCTGAAGGCCCGGGTTCGATTCCCCACATGGGTACAATGTGTGAAGCCCATTCCTGGTGTCCCCAGCTGTGATACTGCGGGAATATTGCTAAGGATTCACAAGGATTACTGAACTTTTTGGATTAATTTTGAGTTCTGATAATTTGAACTCAAAATTAATCCAAAAAGTTCAGTAATCCTTGTGGTATGAAGAATATGCTCCTAGAATCATATGTTATGTGACAAATGCTTCTGTTTATGTGTCTTAGTTTATTAAACATTTACATACAGAACCCCATGTGGTAGGTCTGATTTCTGGTGGCACGGTCAGATAATAAGAAGGTTGAGTCAGATGTGTCCAATTTCAACTTTCTCAGGTCCCTATCAGAGGAGGGTCTGATTGCATTCTTAATGTCAGAAAAAACCATCTTATAACTGATGTGTATATTAGTAATGGTTAGCATGGTCAGTTTCTGGTATGGGGAACCTGATATTCAGTGAGTGAAAGAGTTTGTAATTCTAAGCATTAAGGTTATAACAAGGACCCCCTGAATTTAATGCTGTTTTAAGCGTCGTAAGTGTGTAAATAGTAGTGTTGGGAATTGGTTGAAATCTCACAGTTGATGATTGGTTCATTACCAATGGGCAGTCATCGGAAAAAAATTGTTAGCGTCATTTTTCAGATTTTCCTATTCAGGTTGTTAATGCAGATAAGTATAGCTTGTTTCTCTGTTGTTTTTAGTTTTATTAAGAAACTGCCCAAACTGCATTGGCAAATTTCACATCTAATTTAAAATGATGCTACTCGCTACTTCAAAATGATGACTAATATATCAAGATATATTCAGTCGATCATGACTTTTCAGTTAGCGAAGTGAGTTTTCTAAGAATTAAACATGTTTTCAGGCCCTGACAGCTTCTTAGATATGTTTCATTGTGAAGTGTTTCAAACACTAAAACAGTAGTTCCAAAATCGTTTGTGTTCGATTATGAGAAAAGGCGATCGATTGCTTGGTTGTTTGGTCACTGTGACCAATCTTCCATTATTTCAATTAATTGGAACACCACTAGTAAATAGGTACCACAATTTGTTTGCAGTACATTACCAGATTAGCAAAACAGTTTTGAACATGATAAAGGAGGACATATTTTGACAGTATTAAGGATATCCTTTAGCATGTTTTATGACATGTATTTCCTATATCCAATAGTGGTGGTCCGATTAATTGAAATAATCGAAGATTATTCGCCGTGGCCAAACGATCAAGCAATCGATCACATTTTCTCATAATCGAACACAAACGATTTTGGAACCGCTGTAATAGAGTTTGAAATACTTGATGATGGAACATACCTAGGACGTTGTCAGGGCCTGAAAACGTGTTTATTTCTAAGAAAACTCACTTCACTTTCTGAAAAGTCATGACTGAATATTTCTTGAAGAATCTGGGAAGTTAATGTTACACTGGAACTGAATAATTTTACACTGGATGTGAAATCTGCAAATGTAATTTGTGCAGTTTCTAAAAAAAACCCAAAGAACCAAATGTTTTTTCTTTATACTAATCTGCAACTACAACCTGAAAAGGAAAATCTAAAAAATGACGCTAACCAATTTTCTTTCGATGATTGGCCGTTGGTATTGAAGCAATCATCAATTGTGAGATTTCAACCAATTCCCAACACTAATATCCAACCAGCACTTGCCACAAATGTGCTGGGGCACACATTGTTGATCGGACATACCCAACCTGTCAACAGCACTTGCTTGTTCATAATATATTAGATTAGATTTGTTGAAGAAATAACAATTCCCTTTTTATTGTCATGCGTCAAGATTGCACTAACCAGTTCCAATGGAGTTATGTCTTTGTCTAACCCCTGTGTGATGTTCCCTGTTGTACATGTTGTAGATGACACTGTTGGTGGTGATGTCAAGGGTAATGTGGTGGAGATGGAGCAGTCAAGGTCCATCTCAGTAGAGGTTGTGTCCAGCAAGGAACTTGTATTCGTCTCGGTGGATGGAACTACCGTGAGTACAGGTTATGAAGTAGAAGGCCAAACTGCAAGTATAAGCAAAGGATAGTAAACTTTACAAGAACAAAACATATTGTATTGCATTCTTCAAATAAGAACTTCTATGCACAAGACCTCAGTTGCCAAAGTGGTAGCAATGACTGACAAATATGTTCTGTTTTCAGGTGCTGCAAGAAAATGTCTTCGAGCTCAGTCGAGGCATGCATGTTGTGGTCCTCAATCAAGCAACAGTAGGTTCATTGTACCACGTATATTTGTGCTGTCACTGTGCTGTCACTGTACTATCACTGTGCTCTCACTGTGTCTGTGCTGTCACTGTACTATCACTGTGCCTGTGCTGTCACTGTACTATCACTGTGCTGTCACTGTGTCTGTGCTGTCACTGTACTATCACTGTGCTGTCACTGTGTCTGTGCTGTCACTGTACTATCACTGTGCTGTCACTGTGCCTGTGCTGTCACTGTGCTATCACTGTGCCTGTGCTGTCACTGTGCCTGTGCTGTCACTGTGCTGTCACTGTGCCTGTGCTGTCACTGTGCTGTCACTGTGCCTGTGCTGTCACTCTGCTGTCACTGTGCTATCAAGGTCAGTCAGACCTGTCATATTCTGTTCATTTTAGTCGGTGATCATGAAAACATTCTTGTCTTCACACCTGCATGATTGAAGCTGAAACTTGGTGTGTTGTTTTGCTTTACAAAATTAAACTTCTGAATCCATGGCTTTGATAAAGTGAAATATAACATATCAAGTAAAAGTAACATTCCTCCAAAATTTTATGGCTCTACAAATTGGATGGAAAACTAGACAACTGATTTATGGTGTCTCATCTGTTAACTTTAAAATATAATTATATAAGGGCATTGTAAATAATATTATAAAATAAAAACTACTACATTGTTCACTTTTGACTTTTCTGATATTTATATTCCCACTAAACCAGCTGATCTAAACAATTACTGGAAGGCCTAGCAAATAACAGTTTATTATGTACCGCATGTTTCAAACCAATATGAGACCCATGAAGATCCGGGTTAGAATTGATCTTCAGTAACCCATGCTTGTCGCAAGAGGCGACCAACAGGATCGGGTGGTCAGGCTCGCTGACTTGTTTGACGCATGTCATCGGTTCCCAATTGCGCATATCGATGCTCATGCTGTTTATCACTGGATTGTCTGGTCCAGACTCAATTATATACAGACCGCTGCCATATAGCTTGAATATTGCTGAGTGCGGCGTAAAACTAAACTCACTCACTAACTCAAACATATATGTGTGGAGTTTGTTACCCAAACCTGTAAGTCTGCTGGACTACTGTAAACAGAATGTTGTCAATCACACTTATGGTCATAAGCTAACAGTAACTGGTATACATTCAGTTGATTTCTGCTGAAAAAATTAAAGAAACGATTTGTGCTTTGTGCGAGTGAGTCACAGACTGTACATATCTGTTAAACATAGAAAGTTAGTGATCAGGAATATTTAGGGGTATATTTTATTGACCTTGTGTTCTCAGTCTCCCATTCAAAAAGCAATCACCAAAAATATTTGTCATCCATCATGTATATAATGTATATGTATATGTTTATGTTCAGCAATGTTCCATCATTCTAAGATGAAATGTTATATTACATCACTATCGGTCCTTTTCCCTTAGAACCCGTGAAGATCCGGGTTAGAATTGATCTTCAGCAACCCATGCTTGTCATAAGCGGCAACTAACGGGATTGTGTGATCAGGCTCGATGACATGATTAACACATGTCATTGTTTCCAGTTGCACAGACTGATGCTCATGATCACTGGATTGTCTGGTCCAGACTGCCGCCAAATAGCTGGATTATTGCATTAAACAACAAACCTTTTCATCAGCTGATGATGACGCAGTGTTTTCATCATCAGTATATTGTTTGTGTTTCCCCAGGGCAGCGTGATGGCGAAGCGGGTGTTTGACACGTACAGTCAGCATGAAGACGAAGCCATGGTGTTGTTCCTCAACATGGTGTCTGATGGCAGGATTGTTATCTTTACCATCAAGGTAACGTACTTTATCTCAAGTCAAATTCAATATGTAAGCAACTTATGAATATATATATGTGTAAACTGGGCCCCGTTTCACAAAGCTATCATAGCGCTACGACTGCTGCACCTCCTATACTGTAACATAGACCTACGACAGTAGTAGCGCTATGATAGCTTTGTGAAACGGGGCCCTGGTGTCAAGACTCATAGTGTCAAGGCTGGTGGTGAAAAGTGGTTGTTAGGGTTTTTTGTTAATTGAAGCCAATTTTTATAGAGATATATGTCAACAATTCCAGCTTGACAGACTGCTTGTTTAACTATTACCACCAATAAATGGTAGACAATTTCAGACAGTAGATTCAAAATCACTGACAACGTTTAGGTCAGTACATCACAAGCCCTGACCATTCTTTTATATATACAGTGAAGCCCCGTTAGTCCGGACTCCGATAATCCGGATGTCTCGCCTCCCGGGGCGATTTCAGCTTGTTACCAATCTATGCCTATATAATTTGCCTCGATAATCCGGAAATTCGGTTTCCGGAACCGGACGGTAAGTAGCTGTCACCAATCAGTAAAATAAACAGTAAATTGCTTCACAGTCCGGACGCTGTAAGTCGTGTTCACGAACCGTAACAACACCTCCCGGCGATGTTTACTTAATTAACTGGCCAACTGGGTTGTTGTTTTAATTAGACATTAAAAGCTCCCGACTGAAGATACTGTACATTTACACTTTGATTGACACCACAATACAAAGGCGTGGATGACAAGTGAGCTGTTTTGTGATTGGTTAATGTACTTTGACAGACAGATGCGGTCACGTGGACTTAAAGTGATTTTGCTTTACGACAATGCTGCAAGTCACAAGTGTGCTTCGCTAACTTTGAGAAATGTGACCAAATACCACGTCTCATATTCAACCGATGGATGCAGGAATAACTCGGACATTCAAGGCATACTACAATAGATCGCTTGTTAGACATTACCTCACCTGTGCTGAGGAAGGACGTGATCAGACACGTCGGATCAACATGCGGATGTCACTCGGTAAAATTATTGATGTGATGAATTAAAAGCTTTACATTAAATGCTTATTTGTTTTATCCAGATTCGTGTCGTTTTTGTAATAGTTAGGGAAGCAACTTGGGTCTTGATTCAGTAGTCCGGACTATTCGCAATCCGGACGAATTTACTGAGAAACGCAACCGTCCGGATTAACGAGGCTTCACTGTATACCAATCGATAAACAGTAGTTTGTAACATTCTGTGGGCAAATTGTGTGCTTAATACCAAACAATTACTTGGTTATCAAATGCCACAGATTCACTTCCAGTATATTGATAATGAATATATTGTGTCTGATGCAGATTTTTATCACCCTGGTTTTTGAAACAGGATATAGCGTGTCTGTCTGTCGTCAGTGAAAATGATAGAAGTGCTTATATTTAGAGCAGAACTCAAAACCATAAAATATTTCTTAATCATGGTAATTGCTGTGCAGATTAATCTAGTGGTGAACTGGTGCCTTTTGATGATTTAACTTCAGTACTGTTAAAAGCAGCATGGAACAAAACTGACTCACAGTACAAGCTGACAAGTGTGTTACACAAGGTACCCTGTAAGATGAATGTGTGGAAAAGATGCTTTAGGACATACCTTAAGCAATATGTCTTCGCTGTCCCGCCGGCTGGTGAGAGACTAACGCTGCTGGATCAGATCGGGTCTCCCTCGACTGCTGCACATGCAGGGGTGCTCGGGTGTTTCTGCCACGTTCCGAACACCGCCAAGTTAAACACACAATAATCAGTTCAATCACTTTCCTCCCATATCATTTCAGGATGAGGCTACATTCCACTTAAAGTCTGTGGCACGCACGTTCTTACGGAACCTTGGCAGTGAGAAAGCTGAAGCTCTCAACTGGCGGGATATGTGGTGTTTTGCTGCTTTCAAGGGAGGTAAGTGTTGTGATGTCACACTCAGCAATGTTCCAGCTATGTGGCGTCCATCTGTAAATAATCAAGTCGGGCCCTGATGGTATTGGTAATAACTTCCTTAGGCATACTGCATAAGTGCTGTCTTACCCCCTCAGTTTAATATTAAATAAGTCTTTAGACTTAACAAATTTTGCCAGAGCATGGAAACGTGCTTCCGTAATACCCATTCATAAGAAAGAATGTGTTAATGAATGTAGCAATTATAGACCAGTGTCTCTCACATGTTGTTTATCTAAAGTCTTTGAAAAATGTGTTCTCAAATACGTCTTTAATTTTTTAAAGACAATGGTATTATAAATAAATTACAGTCTGGTTTTATTCCTGGTGATTCAGCAACTTATCAAGTATGAGATTTGTATAACTTCATTTCAAGTGCCATGGATAAAGGTAAAGAAGTAAGAGCTGTCTTTTGTGATATAAGCCAGGCCTTTGATAAAGTGTGGCATAAGGGACTTCTATACAAATTACAATTATATGGAATATGTGGTAAATTACTTGATTGGTTTGATAGTTATCTTCATGAAAGAGTTGAGAAAGTTGTTATAAACGGTTACAGTTCTGAGTATAGATCTGTAATAGCTGGTGTCGCCCAAGGATCTGTGCTTGGGCCATTATTATTCTTGTCTAAATAAATGATCTTGTTGAAAATATAGATTGCCATATAAGACTCTTTTCTGATGACACTTCACTTTATGTTATAATAGAAGATCCTACCGAAGATGCTATGCACCTCAATAAAGATTTAGAAATGATTTCTCCATGGGCAGTACGGTGGCAAGTTCTAAGACTGAAACTATACAGTTTAGTAAAAGACGTTCCATAGAGACTAGTCCGAGATTATTTATGCAAAATATTCCTATAAATAAAGTTTCCGAGCACAAACATTTAGGCCTCTGGTTTCAAAAAGATGCCAGTTGGACTGCACAGATAAATTCTCTATTTAATAAAGTTCACCAACATTAACTTGTTTAAGGAGTTACAAATATCAATTATCAAGAAAAACACTATTTGTTATGTATAAATCCTGTATTCTGCCATTATTTGATTAGTGTAGTTGTATATGGGATAATTGTACAGTTAGCCAGGCATCAATGCTTGAAAAATTGCAGCTTGATGCACTAAGAACAATATGTGGGGCTACAAGGGGAAAAAGGCATAATAAACTATATTCAGAAACTGATCTTTTACCTCTAGTAGTTTTGAAATTCTGAATAAAATATTTTTGGCGTTTCCATGGCAACAAGTTTGACTTAGCCTGAAATCGGTGGTTATGCTCTTTTCCGGAGCTGAACTCTAAAACCGTTCACTATTTCTTCACCAAACTTGGCACATAGATAGATCTGGTGGTGTACTGGTGCCTTTTGGTAGTTTTGGATTTCTGAATAAAATATATTTGGCATTTCTGTGGCAACAAGTTTGACTTAGACTGAAATTGCTGTTTGTGCTTTTTTCCCGAGCTGAACTTAAAAAAAGCTATTTCTTCACCAAACTTGGCACATAGATAGATCTGGTGGTGTACTGGTGCCTTTTGGTAGTTTTGGAATTCTGAATACAATATTTTTGGCGTTTCCATGGCAACAAGTTTGACTTAGCCTGAAATTGGTGGTAGTGCTCTTTTCCAGAGCTGAACTCTAAAACCGTTCACTATTTTTTTACCAAACCTGGCACATAGATTGGTCTGGTGGTGTACTGGTGCCTTTTGGTAGTTTTGGAATTCTGAATAAAATATTTTTGGCATTTCCATGGCAACAAGTTTGACATAGACTGAATCTGGTGATAGTTCTCCTTTCTGAAGCAGAACTTTAAAAACCTTTAAATACTCTCCTTCCACTTTTCTATATACACACCTAAATATTTGACATAATCATAGCTCGTAGACATAATCATGAAGAGTATTTTGCCATTGCGGGGGATATTGATGACTTTGTCTTCTTGTTAATCCTCTTGGCACGGTTGATAATCGGGAAGTAGTGATTGCGCGGTGAATCAAATGCTCTAAGCCGGCATGGGTCTGAGCAGTCTAATCAGGGTCCCTTATATTATAGAGATAAAGAGACTGACGAGTGTAAATGGCAGCCATGTTAGAAAATGATCGTAAAACTAAACCGGCATTTTATTTTGGCCCCTCGGGGTGCCGGTTTAGACAGATTTATTATGGTTTACTATGTACCTGTAAATATCAGGGTTATACAGGTCTAGTTTCCCATGTTGTTTTCCCATAAAGAATCCGTAATTAAACTGTCATATACTTTAATGTGCATGAAGGACTATGAACATCAGGTTGTATTCAGATTGTATTTACCTGATAATATCATGTTTTATGTGGTGACTCTATTTTGATATGTATGTATACATATATATCGTTGTAGGAAAGAAGTTAGGAGAGGCACATGGTAAATCCCCCAATCTGTCATCTTGGGGTGAACGAGCAGTCTTCAAGGTGGACATCCCTCTGTCGAGGATAGCAGGTGGGTACTTTTTTGTCCCCGCAACACGTTTTGCAGGGGGTATTAAAATGGACTCCGTTCGTGCGTCTGTCCGTGGGTCCGTGCACATTTGTCTTTTCCGAGCATAACTCTAAAACTGTTCAATATTTCTTCACCAAACTTGGCACATAGATAGATCTGGTGGTGTACTGGTGCCTTTTGGTAGTTTTGGATTTCCGAATCAAATATTTTTTGCTATTCCATGGCAACAAGTTTGACTTAGACTGAAATTGGTGGTAGTGCTCTTTTCCGGAGCAGAACTCTAAAACCGTTCCATATTTCTTCACCAAACTTGGCACATAGATAGATCTGGTGGTGAACTGGTGCCTTTTGGTAGTTTTGGAATTCTGAATAAAATATATTTTGCCTTTCCATGGCAACAAGTTTGACTTAGACTGAAATTGGTGGTAGTGCTCTTTTCCAGAGCAGAACTCTAAAACCGTTCACTATTTCTTCACCAAACTTGGCACATAGATAGATCTGGTGGTGTACTGGTGCCTTTTGGTAGTTTTGGAATTCTGAATAAAATATTTTTGGCGTTTCCATGGCAACAAGTTTGACTTAGACTGAAATTGGTGGTAGTGCTCTTTTCCAGAGCAGAACTCTAAAACCGTTCACTATTTCTTCACCAAACTTGGCACATAGATAGATCTGGTGGTGTACTGGTGCCTTTTGGTAGTTTTGGAATTCTGAATAAAATATTTTTGGCGTTTCCATGGCAACAAGTTTGACTTAGCCTGAAATTGGTGGTAGTGCTCTTTTCCAGAGCAGAACTCTAAAACCGTTCAATATTTCTTCACCAAACTTGGCACATAGATAGATCTGGTGGTGTACTGGTGCCTTTTGGTAGTTTTGGAATTCTGAATAAAACAATTTTGGCGTTTCCATGGCAACAAGTTTGACTTAGACTGAAATTGGTGGTAGTGCTCTTTTCCAGAGCAGAACTCTAAAACCGTTCACTATTTCTTCACCAAACTTGGCACATAGATAGATCTGGTGGTGTACTGGTGCCTTTTGGTAGTTTTGGAATTCTGAATAAAACAATTTTTTTGGCGTTTCCATGGCAACAAGTTTGACTTAGCCTGAAATTGGTGGTAGTGCTCTTTTCCAGAGCAGAACTCTAAAACCGTTCACTATTTCTTCACCAAACTTGACACATAGATAGATCTGGTGGTGTACTGGTGCCTTTTGGTAGTTTTGGAATTCTGAATAAAATTTTGGCGTTTCCATGGCAACAAGTTTGACTTAGACCTGAAATTGGTGGTAGTGCTCTTTTCCAGAGCAGAACTCTAAAACCGTTCACTATTTCTTCACCAAACTTGGCACATAGATAGATCTGGTGGTGTACTGGTGCCTTTTGGTAGTTTTGGAATTCTGAATAAAATATTTTGGCATTTCCATGGCAACAAGTTTGACTTAGACTGAAATTGGTGGTAGTGCTCTTTTCCAGAGCAGAACTCTAAAACCGTTCACTATTTCTTCACCAAACTTGACACATAGATAGATCTGGTGGTGTACTGGTGCCTTTTGGTAGTTTTGGAATTCTGAATAAAATATTTTTGGCATTTCCATGGCAACAAGTTTGACTTAGCCTGAAATTGGTGGTAGTGCTCTTTTCCAGAGCAGAACTCTAAAACCGTTCACTATTTCTTCACCAAACTTGGCACATAGATAGATCTGGTGGTGTACTGGTGCCTTTTGGTAGTTTTGGAATTCTGAATAAAACATATTTTGGCGTTTCCGTGGCAACAAGTTTGACTTAGCCTGAAATTGGTGGTAGTGCTCTTTTCCAGAGCAGAACTCTAAAACCGTTCACTATTTCTTCACCAAACTTGACACATAGATAGATCTGGTGGTGTACTGGTGCCTTTTGGTAGTTTTGGAATTCTGAATAAAATATATTTTGGCGTTTCCATGGCAACAAGTTTGACTTAGACTGAAATTGGTGGTAGTGCTCTTTCCCAGAGCAGAACTCTAAAACCGTTCACTATTTCTTCACCAAACTTGGCACATAGATAGATCTGGTGGTGTACTGGTGCCTTTTGGTAGTTTTGGAATTCTGAATAAAATATATTTTGGCGTTTCCATGGCAACAAGTTTGACTTAGACTGAAATTGGTGGTAGTGCTCTTTTCCAGAGCAGAACTCTAAAACCGTTCACTATTTCTTCACCAAACTTGGCACATAGATAGATCTGGTGGTGTACTGGTGCCTTTTGGTAGTTTTGGAATTCTGAATAAAAATATTTTGGCATTTCCATGGCAACAAGTTTGACTTAGCCTGAAATTGGTGGTAGTGCTCTTTTCCAGAGCAGAACTCTAAAACCGTTCACTATTTCTTCACCAAACTTGACACATAGATAGATCTGGTGGTGTACTGGTGCCTTTTGGTAGTTTTGGAATTCTGAATAAAATATTTTGGCGTTTCCATGGCAACAAGTTTGACTTAGCCTGAAATTGGTGGTAGTGCTCTTTCCAGAGCAGAACTCTAAAACCGTTCACTATTTCTTCACCAAACTTGGCACATAGATAGATCTGGTGGTGTACTGGTGCCTTTTGGTAGTTTTGGAATTCTGAATAAAATATTTTGGCGTTTCCATGGCAACAAGTTTGACTTAGACTGAAATTGGTGGTAGTGCTCTTTTCCAGAGCAGAACTCTAAAACCGTTCACTATTTCTTCACCAAACTTGGCACATAGATAGATCTGGTGGTGTACTGGTGCCTTTTGGTAGTTTTGGAATTCTGAATAAAACAATTTTTGGCTTTTCCATGGCAACAAGTTTGACTTAGACTGAAATTGGTGGTAGTGCTCTTTTCCAGAGCAGAACTCTAAAACCGTTCACTATTTCTTCACCAAACTTGGCACATAGATAGATCTGGTGGTGTACTGGTGCCTTTTGGTAGTTTTGGAATTCTGAATAAAAATATTTTTGGCGTTTCCATGGCAACAAGTTTGACTTAGACTGAAATTGGTGGTAGTGCTCTTTTCCAGAGCAGAACTCTAAAACCGTTCACTATTTCTTCACCAAACTTGGCACATAGATAGATCTGGTGGTGTACTGGTGCCTTTTGGTAGTTTTGGAATTCTGAATAAAATATATTTTGGCGTTTCCATGGCAACAAGTTTGACTTAGACTGAAATTGGTGGTAGTGCTCTTTTCCAGAGCAGAACTCTAAAACCGTTCACTATTTCTTCACCAAACTTGGCACATAGATAGATCTGGTGGTGTACTGGTGCCTTTTGGTAGTTTTGGAATTCTGAATAAAATATTTTTGGCGTTTCCATGGCAACAAGTTTGACTTAGACTGAAATTGGTGGTAGTGCTCTTTTCCAGAGCAGAACTCTAAAACCGTTCACTATTTCTTCACCAAACTTGGCACATAGATAGATCTGGTGGTGTACTGGTGCCTTTTGGTAGTTTTGGAATTCTGAATAAAATATTTTTGGCGTTTCCATGGCAACAAGTTTGACTTAGACTGAAATTGGTGGTAGTGCTCTTTTCCAGAGCTGAACTCTAAAACCGTTCACTATTTCTTCACCAAACTTGGCACATAGATAGATCTGGTGGTGTACTGGTGCCTTTTGGTAGTTTTGGAATTCTGAATAAAATATTTTTGGCGTTTCCATGGCAACAAGTTTGACTTAGACTGAAATTGGTGGTAGTGCTCTTTTCCAGAGCAGAACTCTAAAACCGTTCAATGTTTCTTCACCAAACTTGGCACATAGATAGATCTGGTGGTGTACTGGTGCCTTTTGGTAGTTTTGGAATTCTGAATAAAATATGTTTTGCATTTCCATGGCAACAAGTTTGACTTAGACTGAAATTGGTGGTAGTGCTCTTTTCCAGAGCAGAACTTTAAAACTGTTCACTATTTCATCACGAAATTTCATACATAGGTAGGTCTAGTGGTGAACTGGTGCCTTTTGCTAGTGTTGGATTTCTGAATAAAATGGGTTTTTTTTGCATTTCCATGGCAACAATTTTGGCTTTAACTGAATTTGGTGGTAGTGCTCCTTTCTGGAGCAGAACTCTAAAACCCTTCAGTACTCTCCTTCCACTTAGCTATATACACACCAAAATATTTGACATAATCATAACTCGTAGACATATTCATGAAGAGTATTTTGCCATTGTGGGGGATATTGATGACTTTGTCTTCTTGTTTCATATACATTGTAGCTACACATATCTTCCTCTCTATCCCGTGTAGCAGTTTGACACAGAGTTTTGTCCTTCGGTGTAGCAGGATCCTGTGACCATTAGTTTAAGTCCTAGATTCACCCTCATTATACTTCTTGTAACCATACCGGCGTCCCTGAGGTGCAACAAATGGGGAAATGTGTAACACGCACATCATGGGATAGGCGTCGTATAGTAGGACATCAGAATACAAATCGTATTGCAGCCTTGATGTATCATTACACCTCTACATATCAGTACTACTATTGACAGTATCATTCAAACACACTCACTCAAAATTTCGACTCAGTTTAGATTCAGTGCAGGATAAATCAAACATTTGTCTTCCATTTTATGGACCGCCTCCGTGGTGTAGTGGTAAGAGCGTCCGCCCGGAGAGTGGAAGGTCGTGGGTTTGATCCCCGACCGCGTCATACCAAAAGACGTTAAAATATGGTACTTGTTGGTTCCTGTCTGGCACTCAGCATTAATGGATACAACAAGGACTGGTCGGCTCGGAGTCAGTATAATGTGTCTGAGTGGGGTATTCATGCTTCACTGCGGCATGGTATCTCAGTGGGCTAGCACTATAAAACCAGCTTAAATCTGGGCTAGTACAAGCAGCCACACATACACATACACACGCATGCACATCGTCATATGAGTGAAATATTCTCAAGCACAACGTAAAACCCAATTTCACCTCACCTCATTCAAACACACTCACTCAAATTTTTGACTCAGTTCAGATTCAGTGCAAGATAAATCAAACATTTGTCTTCCTTTTTGTGAGCAGTTGAAGGTGAGCTACATGTTGTGTTTCTTGTAGATGCTGAGTGTGAGTGGCCAGACGATGATGTCGGGAGGAGGAGGAAGGCCTTCTGTAGTAAGGTGGAGGGGTACGGCAGTGTGTGTAGCTGCTCTGACCCAGCTCCCATCATCTTCAAGCCAGAACCGGTAGGTGGTCGCCAGAGACATTACAGCTAGTTAGGGACTGTTCATAATTTATGGCAAGGTGGTGTGATGATGATTATAAGGGGGTCACTCATTTTGTTCTGGGGTGGTAGGGGGGTACATAACATCATTAAAACATTATGCTTAATGATTATGGGAATGGGGGAGGGGTAAGTGATTTTGTACATGACATGCAGGGGGGTCACTTACTTTGTACATAAACTTTAGGGGGGTCATTCGCATTGTACATGCTTCTCCATAAAAATCATCAAAAACACACCCACCCCACCCCACCCCAGCCATAAATTATGACAATATTTTCAAAGCAAACCATGTTATGTGCAATCTAATGTAATTAAACCTGACCAACATTAAAGAGGTTTATGAGCCTTTATTAATTACCAGCCAGATATTTGATTATAATTGTCTGTATTACAAGATGCCAAACTTAACATTCAGTGTGTGAAAATCAAAATTACACTGTTTATGTTTACAAATTCCTTGTGTAGGGATTAAGCAGCTCAGATTTAGCCTAGTGGGGAAATGAATTAAGATACAGGGCCCAGTTCAAAGAGATCTTAGTGCCTAGGTGTCAGTAACTGTCATACTTTAACACAGGCTGACGATCGTCATAGCATTGACATTGTGATATTGTGCAGTGGAGCCCGGAAGTTAGGTAAAGATGAAGGTGTTGTGGTGCAACATACAAGGGAAAGTTCGTGTATATTTTATCTCTAATATTGTGTCAGTGCATTTCATTTGCAATTTATTTTTCAGCTGCAAAACAGGAACATAGACTCTATTCCAGTGGCCGTTATAGCCAGTGACCGGCCACATTACTTATATAGGTGGGTGAATTACTCCATGCTGTTGATAATGCTCGGCCTATTATTATGCTTTTCAGATACTAGTCCCGTTGATATAGCCATCAAGAATGGCAAATGTCCACTAGTCCTTATCTGGAGATTGATGCACCAGTTAAGCCACTAGTCCTTATGATACAGCCATTAAAATGTCCACTAGTCCTTATCTGGAGATTGATGCACCAGTTAAGCCACTAGTCCTTATGATACAGCCATTAAAATGTCCACTAGTCCTTATCTGGAGATTGATGCACCAGTTAAGCCACTAGTCATTATGATACAGTCATTAAAATGTCCACTAGATCTTATCTGGAGATTGATGCACCATTTTATCCACTAGTCCTTATGATACAGCCATTAAAATATCCACTAGTCCTTATCTTGAGATTGATGCACCAGTTAAGCCACTATTCCTACAGTCATTAAAATGAGATTTATGATACAGCCATTAAAATGTCCACTAGTCCTTATCTTGAGATTGATGCACCAGTTAAGCCACTAGTCCTTATGATACAGTCATTAAAATGTCCACTAGTCCTTATCTGGAGATTGATGCACCAGTTAAGCCACTAGTCCTTATGATACAGCCATTAAAATGTCCACTAGTCCTTATCTGAGATTGATGCACCAGTTAAGCCACTAGTCCTTATGATACAGCCATTAAAATGTCCACTAGTCCTTATCTGGAGATTGATGCACCAGTTAAGCCACTAGTCCTTATGATACAGCCATTAAAATGTCCACTAGTCCTTATCTGGAGATTGATGCACCAGTTAAGCCACTAGTCCTTATGATACAGCCACAATTAAAATGTCCACTAGTCCTTATTGGAGTCCTTATTGATGCACCTTAGTTGAGCACCATTGATGCACAGTTAAGTCCCACTAGTCCTTATGATACTAAGCCATTAAAATGTCCACTAGTCTTGAGATTGATGCACCAGTTGGAGATTGATGCACCAGATCATTAAGCCACTAGTCCTTAAGTGATACAGCCATTAAAATGCACCTTATCTGGAGATTGATGCACCAGTTAAGCCCAGTCCTTATGATACAGCCATTAAAATGTCCACTAGTCCTTATCTGATACAGCCATTAAAATGTCCACTAGTCCTTATCTGGAGATTGATGCACCAGTTAAGCCACTAGTCCTTATGATACTGCTTTTAAAATGTCCACTAGTCCTTATCTGAGATTGAGATTGATGCACCAGTTAAGCCACTAGTCCTTATGATACAGCCATTAAAATGTCCACTAGTCCTTATCTGGAGATTGATGCACCAGTTAAGCCACTAGTCCTTATGATACTGCATATGATACTGCTTTAAAATGTCCACTAGTCCTTATCTGGAGATTGATGCACCAGTTAAGCCCCTAGTCCTTATGATACAGCCATTAAAATGTCCACTAGTCCTTATCTTGAGATTGATGCACCAGTTAAGCCACTAGTCCTTATGATACAGTCATTAACATGTCCACTAGTCCTTATCTTGAGATTGATGCACCAGTTAAGCCCCCCAGTCCTTATGATACAGCCATTAAAATGTCCACTAGTCCTTATCTGGAGATTGATGCACCAGTTAAGCCACTAGTCCTTATGATACAGCCATTAAAATGTCCACTAGTCCTTATCTGGAGATTGATGCACCAGTTAAGCCACTAGTCCTTATGATACAGTCATTAAAATGTCCACTAGTCCTTATCTGGAGATTGATGCACCAGTTAAGCCACTAGTCCTTATGATACAGTCATTAAAATGTCCACTAGTCCTTATCTTGAGATTGATGCACCAGTTAAGCCACTAGTCCTTATGATACTGCTTATAAAATGTCCACTAGTCCTTATCTGGAGATTGATGCACCAGTTAAGCCACTAGTCCTTATGATACAGCCATTAAAATGTCCACTAGTCCTTATCTGGAGATTGATGCACCAGTTAAGCCACTAGTCCTTATGATACTGCTTTAAAATGTCCACTAGTCCTTATCTTGAGATTGATGCACCAGTTAAGCCACTAGTCCTTATGATACAGCCATTAAAATGTCCACTAGTCCTTATCTTGAGATTGATGCACCAGTTAAGCCACTAGTCCTTATGATACAGCCATTAAAATGTCCACTAGTCCTTATCTTGAGATTGATGCACCAGTTAAGCCACTAGTCCTTATGATACTGCTTTTTAAAATGGCAAATTGCCATTAGTCCTTATGATACCTTGACCACTTGTCAGTTTGGCAAGGACTATAGTATAAGTGCCAGTTGGAGTCAGTTATCCATTGTATGTACTTATTCACCCTGGCTTTGTATGCTGTAAGCCTTTCTTTCAGAATTCTATTGTCTTGGTTGAGGCCTAAATCAAATATATTTATTTAACTCTGTTTTCACACTTGTCAGAATGTTGCGGACCCTGTTGTCGGTGCAGGGATCGAACCCCAAGATGGTCACTGTCTTCATAGATGGCTACTTTGAGGTATGTTTGAGAGTTAATATTGGATGTTTAACATGTAACTGTGTCAGAACATGTTTTGAGTAATATTATAGTTTGCCAGTTTCCAAAACTGACAGTATTCACCATTGCCTGTTTGTTTATATTATTGTATTTGGACTCCCGGGCCAGTGGTAACCTGTAATTTCATCAAGTTTTAAAAGTCAGAAGTTTAATTCTTCTAAACCTCAGTGACATAAACATTCACAAGATACTAGTGAGTGAGTGAGTATGATTTTATGCCGCTTTTTAGCAATATTCCAGCAATATCACAGCGGGGGACACCCGAAATGGGCTTCACACATTGTACCCATGTGGGGAATCGAACCCAGGTCTTCGGTGTGACGAGCTAACGCTTTAACCACTAGGCTACCCCACTGCCCCCATAAGATACTATATGCATGCTGTTTATGTTGAGTAGATGTGAGCATAATTACATGACCTTATTGACATGTTGTTTAATTGATTGATGAAGTGCAATTGTTATTGACTGCATCATCTTTCTGAGACAACTAGAAACAATCAAATTCTTTGTTTTCATGTTTTAGTTGCTTTAACTGGTGAAGTTAACTAACCACTTATTTGACTTTAACCTGCATTATTATGTCTTTTGTGACTTTATCATTCAGGAACCACTGGAAGTGACCAAGCTGTTTGGTTTGAGAGGAATCCAGCACACTCCTCTTGGAGTCAAGAATGCACGTATTTCCCAGCACTACAAGGCTAGCATGACAGCCACGTTTAACCTCTATCCTGTAAGTTGGTGTCGAGCTTGTTGAATGTTTTTACCTTTATTCAGTAAGTTAGCCTTGAGCTTATTCAAATTTGCACCAAAACAAACAGTTACCAGTACTAAAGAAATTTTCATTGTGAATTTTCACTATTTATCATAAAGTTGGATTTTAATATGTTGTCACTTTAATGCTTTTGAAATGCATGTGTTGAGAGGCATTGCCCTCAACCATGCAAATTAGCAATGTTTTAAGTGTATACATGAGTTCACATGCTACTGAAGTGAATGTTAGCCTGATGATTCACTTGTTACATTTGCAGAAAGCAGAGTATGCTATTGTCATCGAGGAAGATTTAGATGTATCCCCAGACTTCTTCAAGTAAGTTCATGGGAGATCTTATATTGATCAACCAGACAACCAACAGTAATAAGACAGATATTTTACGTGGGCTTCAAATTGTTTAACGTCAACTTTGTGGCCTCCATGGTAATAATAAAATCCATGAAATTACCTGTAATTGTTAGGATAAGGCCTTTATGTTTGATTTTAACGATGAAGACAGTCAAACCTGTGAGTTAAAATCACATAAATCCAACATATCTATGATAGTATTTTGTTATTTTTATAAAGTTGAGTTGGAGTGATGTTATTGATATATATTTTACTCATATGAGAAGGCATGGCTGGATCACTGACATGTCTGGGTTCAAAATATTTGGGCGGTGGGGTAGCGTAGTGTTTAAAACGTTCGCTTGTTACATTAGCACAATGTATGAAGCCCATTTCTGGTGTCCATCACCATTATATTGCTGGAATATTGCTAAACGTGGCGTAAAACTCAACTCACTCACTCACTTGTAGAGACTTGTATCCTAGATTCCTGGGATGAAGGGAGTGAAGACTATTTGTGTGCGGCAGGAGAGTGTAGTGTACTGTTTGTTGCAGCTACTTCAGTCAGACACAGCACCTGCTGGAAGAAGATAAAAGCCTGTACTGTGTGTCCGCCTGGAATGATCAGGTGAGTTGTTCACTCCTCTTGGAGTTGCATTGGGGTCTAAAAGATATGAGGCATCCTTGATGGGTCTCAAAATACTCACTTGATGTCCTCCCAAACAATAACACCCTTTGTGATACCGGGGTTTCAGTAATTTGTGGCTCCCATTAAAAAATGTTCCCCAGCAATCACAAATCTTCACGTCATCTGAAATAGCATATCAACAAATCTGCTGTTGTGCTCAGATTTATCATGTTGTAAACTATCAAAGTTCAGTGCAGATGGTTTCTAAAAGTGTTCATTGTACATACATACATACATACTAACATTTGTATAGCGCGCCGATATCCAGCTCAGCTCAGCTGCTCAAAGGCGCTTTGTTTTTCCCTCGTTCACTGGATGTCAATCTCAACGGCACATCGTATTGTCAATCTCAACTCCCTGGGGAGCATACAACTCTTGCAGCCACTAGGCGCACCGAGTTATTGTGGCATTCCCATCATTCCGTACATATCCTCATATTATAGGTTTTCAGATGCTTAAAAAACATTCAAGTTTTCTTGATTAATCATACTAACTTATAATAGACAACTTTATCATAAAGATCTGCCATCAGCTCAGCGAGTTTGCTGTGATGCAACACACCTAGTTTTCTTGAACATATTGAAAGTAGTTGAGTGCAGTCTTACTTTGGGGAGTTGTTGTCAAGGCAGGGTTGTGAAATGAAGAAACTGGGAATGTGTCCTTGAGGATGATGTACCAATATGACCAGTGAAAACATACCATCTGCAGAGATGCCAACCACTCCTATTTTGTTGGAGTTACTCTGATTTTCAAATACAAAATCTGCTCTCCGATTTCTCTTTAAAAAACTCAGATTTTTTAGAAAAAATTCTGAATTTATTTTTAAGGTATACAATTTTGTAAGTCACCAGTGATTTATTTGAGTGAATACTGGTAAAAGCATTCAGAAGCTTAGCATGTGATCCTTTGGGTGTTGATCGTGTATATTGCGTGTTATTGACGATAAAGTTTTTCCATAGTCCGTATGAAAGTGAAACAAAATGGCAGAGCTGACCACACACTCACCCCCAACTTGCACCTTTGGTGCTCAGGCCTGGCTTTCAGCCAGTCATGACTCCGTTTTCCTTAGATTCAGGGTTGGCATCTCTGCATCTGTTGGTGTTTGTCCTCAAAATGGCTAGGGATCTCAGGGGTGGAAATAACTTTAAAATTGCTAGTGTACTCCGGTACAATGGCACATGTAAAATCACTTGCCCTGATAATTTTTCCGCCATACCAGCCGATTTCCTTGGTGATTTTTTAAATAAACAACATAATTAACATTGGAATGTCAACTGGACACCGGTACAGCGTGATATACAAATGTGCTTGCCCGACAGAAAAGAACACTGGACTCGGACGTCGGGCAATGGGTTATTTCCACCCCTGGATCTTGTTGTTTTCACAGAGAAGAAAATAAGTGTTTAGGATTGTTTCGGTCAGCATTCAAGTTTTAAAGGATGAGAATTTGTGGATGTTAATTTTTGTGTATGTGGTCCTTTTATTACAGAAGTTGACATCAGTAAAATTTTCCACCATTCTATGTATCACTTCTAAATGCCATTAAAACATTTGATACAACTTTTACCCCATGAACATTTAAACGATTCAGTAGTTCACCAGTTGTAATACCACTGTGTGACCCTCAGGGGCAGTGCAACCCAATGGCTATGATAAAACCTATCTGCACATTCACTGTGTGTGCATGTCCCAATGTCACACAGTATGGTAGAATCAAGACACGGCTGTGTACGCACTGTGTTACTGTACAGGGCTACGAGCACTCCTGTAAAGACCCAGCTCTGCTGTACCGCGTGGAGACGATGCCGGGACTGGGCTGGCTGCTGAAGAAGAAGCTGTACAAGGAGGAGTTGGAGCCGCAGTGGCCAACGCCAGAGAAGGTGAGTTGAGCATTATCAATAGAAATGATTGTTATATGTTACAGCAATGTCCACATGTTAGCAGTGACTATATTACATGTTACAGCAATGTCCACATGTTAGCAATGACTATGCTACATGTTACAACAATGACTATGCTACATGTTACAACAATGACAACATGAACGCAGTGACAGTGTTACTTGTTACAGCAATGATTACATGTTAGCAATGACTATGCTACATGTTACAACAATGACTATTCTACATGTTTCAACAATGACCACATGTTAGCAATGACTATGCTACATGTTACAGCAATGATTACATGAAAGCGGTGACAGTGTTTCTTCTTACAGCAATGATTACATGTTAGTATTGACAATGTTATATGTAACAACAATGTCCACATGTTAGCAGTGACAGTGTTACATGTTATATCATGTTACAGCAATGATTACGTGTTAGTAGTAACAATGTTACATGTTGCAGCAGTGTCCACATGTTAGCAGTGACAATGTTACATGTTACAGCAATGATTACATGTTAGTATTGACAATGTTATATGTAACAACAATGTCCACATGTTAGCAGTGACAGTGTTACATGTTATATCATGTTACAGCAATGATTACGTGTTAGTAGTAACAATGTTACATGTTGCAGCAATGTCCACATGTTAGCAGTAACAATGTTACATGTTACAGCAATGATTACATGTCAGCAGTGACAATGTTACATGTCAGCAGTGACTGTTACATGTTAGCAGTCACTATGTTACATGTCAGCAGTGACTGTGTTACATGTTAGCAGTGACAATGTTACGTGTTACAGCAATGGGACTGGGACATGTGGATGAGATCCAGCTTTATCCGGAAGGACCGTGAGTGTGTCATACCGGACATATCACGCACATATCACTTTGGCTCAAAAGGTCTGAACATGAACCCCTACTTCCAGGAGATCTACTTCAAGAAACATTCACTAGTCACATTCTCCAATGTCAAATTGAAAGATGTTGACAGGTAAGGAATGCACAGATGTTTTATTTAGTTTGAGAATGATTGAAGATTGAGGTAACTACAACGTAAGATATTTATCATCCCTAATGTCTTCTACTACAACTACATCGTAAGATATTTATCATCCCTAATGTCTTCTACTACAACTACATCGTAAGATATTTATCATCCCTAATGTCTTCTACTACAACTACATCGTAAGATATTTATCATCCCTAATGTCTTCTACTACAACTACATCGTAAGATATTTATCATCCCTGATGTCTTCTACTACAACTACATCGTAAGATATTTATCATCCCTAATGTCTTCTACTACAACTACATCGTAAGATATTTATCATCCCTGATGTCTTCTACTACAACTACATCGTAAGATATTTATCATCCCTGATGTCTTCTACTACAACTACATCGTAAGATATTTATCATCCCTGATGTCTTCTACTACAACTACATCAGAAGATATTTATCATCCTAATGTCTTCTACTACAACTACAACGCGTAAGATATTTATCATCCCTAATGTCTTCTACTACAACTACATCGTGAAGATATTTATCATCCCTAATGTCTTCTACTACAACTACATCGTAAGATATTTATCATCCCTAATGTCTTCTACTACAACTACATCGTGAAGATATTTATCATCCCTAATGTCTTCTACTACAACTACATCGTAAGATATTTATCATCCCTGATGTCTTCTACTACAACTACATCGTAAGATATTTATCATCCCTAATGTCTTCTACTACAACTACATCGTAAGATATTTATCATCCCTAATGTCTTCTACTACAACTACATCGTAAGATATTTATCATCCCTAATGTCTTCTACTACAACTACATCGTAAGATATTTATCATCCCTGATGTCTTCTACTACAACTACATCGTAAGATATTTATCATCCCTAATGTCTTCTACTACAACTACATCGTGAAGATATTTATCATCCCTAATGTCTTCTACTACAACTACATCGTAAGATATTTATCATCCCTGATGTCTTCTACTACAACTACATCGTAAGATATTTATCATCCCTGATGTCTTCTACTACAACTACATCGTAAGATATTTATCATCCCTGATGTCTTCTACTACAACTACATCGTAAGATATTTATCATCCCTGATGTCTTCTACTACAACTACATCGTAAGATATTTATCATCCCTGATGTCTTCTACTACAACTACATCGTAAGATATTTATCATCCCTGATGTCTTCTACTACAACTACATCGTAAGATATTTATCATCCCTAATGTCTTCTACTACAACTACATCGTAAGATATTTATCATCCCTGATGTCTTCCGACAGAAACTGATATTGCTTGTGTTATATTGCATTATAATCCCTTGCAGAGCATTGTGATGTCATTGTTTAATATGATGTCACACTGTAATAACATCACTAATCTCTTCGCAGCTGCAGCTGGTTGTCTTAAGATAATAAATTCACTATATGTTACTGTTTACATATTAAAAAAGTTTGAAGAATAATTTTGGATATAAATAGAACCTCACCCTCTTTGATATTAGATCTTTCAACACGTCCATAAAGAAAGCTCCGAGTTTTGAACAATAATTGTTTAAATAATAATCCAGATATTTTAAATATTTTGCTGTGTAAGTTGTGTAATCGTTATGAAGGCTTAACTTACTGCTAAACAAGCTTGAAAAAATCACTTCCTGCAATTGAAGCCATATCCATGCCATTGAATACATCAGCAGAGGTGGAAGGGTCCCAAATTTTGTTTGACATTCCAATTTCTTCCTAGGATGATCTCTGTGTCTCAATAAAATGTGTGATTGATACCTACGAAATCTAAGACAGCTTATCCTTTAAATTCAGTAATGTGAACAGCTACTGTACATGTGTCATGTTGACATGATGCCTTGACATACACACCACTTTCTGAAAATATGTTCATGCGGATGTTTCTTCAGTTTGTTAATTTGTGAAGTATCTGTTGTTGTGTTGATATGGTGATTCATCTTCTTGTTCCAGCATTCAGAAAGAGAACTATGAGGAAGTAGTTAAAAGTCTCATCAAGTCGGCCGAGGTGTTGAATCATAAGAAGTCTCCGTGTAGTGAAGACTTTATTCCAGACACGCAGGTATGTGTGTCGACAAGCAGTCATTAGAAGCAGGATACCATAGTTGTGCTTTTTCTGGAGCCAAAGGGCAGTGGGATATTTTAATCTCTTTGCGAACTTTTCATCCATATAATTACCAAATTTGAAAATGGTTTTCAGGACATTTCAGATGACAGTCAGTCAGCATCCTAGAAAAAGACTGTTTTAAAATCTAAGTATGACAAGTGTTTATAGGGTTAGAAATTGCTGATCATATTCTCATGCTATGTTAGTATCATGTTGTTTTGAGCAGTTCTTCTTATATCAAGATACCCGTGAAGGTCTGGGTTAGAATATTGATCTTCAGTAACCCATGCTTGGGGTCGAAGAAGCTGGGAGCAGCGACTCCTTCTTGTACATGGGATCGGGTGATCAGGCTCGTTGACTTGGTTGACCACATGTCGTCGTATCCCAATTGCATAGATTGATGCTCATGCTGTTGATCACAGGATTGTCTGGTCATCACTTAATTATTTACAGACCGCCGCCATATAGCTTGAATATTGCTGAGTGCAGCGTTGAACAACAAACCAAAACATGGGTATAGTGCTTAGACTCCAGGATCATTTTCAGGGCAAGACAGGGATCTGAACATCCAGCAGATCCTGTTGCAGCCAAGAAACTCAACTCAGCACAGCTAATGTGGTGTGGTAGATGACCTCAAGGATCAACTGTTGGTGATGGTCAGCATGTTCAAGGGATCCTTGTTGTAATCTTTGAACTGCAGGATGACCTTGTGTATGTGTATGTTATTGTTATAACTGTCTCATCTCTTGTATTTCAGGATAAAACATACGTGATGTACATTCAGATGAATTCACCAACAGATTATGTTACATGGAAACAAATAGCAAAGGTAAGTTTGACAAGGATGTTCCCCATCAGCAGTAAAAAATGTAGCGGTACAAATGGTAATAAGAAGACATTTTCGGTATCTTTTAGAATACGTAATTTAGTTTTAATCTAGACCCGTGAAGATTTGGGTTGCGATTGATCTTGAGTAACCCATGCATGTCGTAAGAGGCAATTAATGGGATCGGGTGGTCAGGCTTGCTGACTTGGTTGACACATGTCATCGTATCCCAATTGCGTAGTTTGTTGGTCATGCTGTTGATCACTGGATTGTCTGGCCCAGACTCGATTATTTACACACCTCCGTCATATAGCTGGAATATTGCTGAGTGCGGCGTTAACCAACAAACCATCCAACCAATTTAATCCTCTGTTTTGTTGTTATTTCAGTGCTACCATTTATGGGATTTAGATGTCCGAGGATTTCATAAAGTGAGTAATGACTCTGTGCAACTATGTTGTTTTCTCAGACATATTTTCTTCAGATTTATCTTCATCAAAATCAGGTATATTAGGACTGAAGAAAGATCAATTGAACCATAAATGTTGTATTGGATGATTCTGGTGATTAATACCCTGTGGGCTAATGTTTTGAGTCGGATTGGAATGGTAGGGCTCCAAGTTGATCTGTCCAATCAAGTATCTGTTGTTAGTTACTGATAGGTGAGGTGATGAAGGTGATGAAGTCGCCCCTTTCCATTTGGTGAATGTATATTAAGGGTTATTCATCATGGTAGAATGCAGCTATACTGGATAATACAGGATGACCGTCAGTAGGTTCTTGTACATGGGTATAGGACACATGAAGATCCGGGTTAGAATTGGTCTTCAGTAACCTATGCTTGTCGTAAGAAGTGACTAACGGGATCGGCTGGACACGTCATCGTATCCCAATTGCATAGATTGATGCTTATGCTGTTGATCACTGGATTGTCTGGTCCAGCTGTAATACACTAGGTGATATAGGGTCAATGTAAGTAGGTTTGTTGCTATATTACTGTATGTGATAATTATTGTCATTAAGCATGTGTGGAAGTACTAATTAAGTGCCAGTCTAACGCTTAGTCTCTGAATATATATGATTTTGATAGAAACAAACATATTTTTATATGATCTTTGATTCATTGGTACTGTTAATTGTTCTTCTATATTATGCTGCTATCACTTGTGTTGTTCATTCCAGAGCATGTGGAGGCTGTTCTTTAAAGGGAATCACCTCATCATGGTGGGGTCACCAGCATCACCGTATGCGTAAGTGTCCTACTTGTGAATAATGACACAATCACAATATATGCACTATAAACAGAAGAAATATTCCAGTGTTTAGGAATCACGTGTTAGATTATGTACGAGATATATAGGTTTCATGCAATGTTATGAAATTTAAAGTTTTTATTTTTGGTTTTGAGTTTTGTGTAGTTTAGTATGTAGTGCAGTGCAGTAGTGCAGTGGTAAGGTGTCTGCCTATTACGCTGAAGGCCTGGGTTCGATCCTCGGTGGGCACATTTGCATAGTATCCTTGGACAAGATACTTAGATCCACATTGTCTCAGTTCACCCAGCTGTAAAATGGGTACACGTGAGGATGTGCTGGCAATGTGAGTGTTTAGTTCATAGAGCCTAACAGGCAGCATGGCTGTATGATCCCCAGGGAGTTGAAAAAGTATCGGAAAGGACGACAGTGTCCTATGACCAGGGATAGTAATGTACGTAGCGCCGTGAGCTGGCAATGTGCCAGGATATGAGCGCCACATAAGCGGACTGTTACTGTTACTATTTCACTGCAACCATACAGTTAGATAGTGGTTTAACATAACAGTGGACATGCACTGTTGATGACAAGAAATAGATCTTAAAAATATCTGTTTTGCGACATGCCACAAATCAGTTTCTCCTTTGAATAATTGAACATACCTGTTTCTCTGCCTTGCTATATAAGCAAACCATTGATTGGTTGACACCCAGTATTGTTATGGCAACAAATCTTGCCTCTGATGCATTTGTCATCATCGTTAACCCCTCCTCCCCGGTTGTATGTACATTGTCTAGTTTAATTAATTCAGTTTCGAATGAATAGTAAAAAAGCTAAAAGAAAAGTCCATGACCCTGAATTTTTCAAAGGGAATTGAAGTCATTTCCACATATATGTTTTCATAGTTAACCTTTGAGATACATGGATATCTAGAAAGTAGGATTTATTTACAGGAATGAAAAATATATATGAATGTCAAAAGTTATTGTACTCGGTAGTACTTGTGTGAAAAGTAATATTTATGTTTCAAGCAAAATGTTTTCTTTCTTTTTCAGTGAATTCAAACCAAAAGATGTGGTACCATTATTCCTTAATTCAACATAAGCAGGGGGAATGTAACATTTGCCAGCGCCACAAATCAACATCCATTTCTACATCAACCAAACAGAATCAACAAGAGATTCAGCCAATCAGCTGTCAAGATCTACCATTCAAATCAGACAGTAGAATTTGTAGAAATATATCTTGTGATAGAAGAATATGCTTTCAGGGCTTGTATGATATTATGAATCCATATAGATTTATATGTAGAGTACATAGCATTTATTACCCATGAAGATCCGGGTTAGAATTGGTCGTCAGTAACCCATGCTTGTCGTAAGAGGCAACTAACGGGATTGGGTGGTCAGACTCACTGACTTGGTTGACACATGTCATCATATCCCATTTGCGTAGATCGATGCTCATGTTGTTGCTCACTGGATTGACTGGTCCAGACTCGATAATTTACAGACCGCCGCCATATAGCTGGAATATTGCTGAGTGTGGCGTAAAACAACAAACCAAACCAAAATATAGCATTTATGAGGACATGCATTTCTGTATATTCCTGATTTAAAGGTGCAAGGTCAGGCGTCTGCATTTTTAATACAATTCATATTTTGGTTTTGTCTGGTATGGAATTCAGCTATCAATGTATATTTTAACCACCTGAAATTCAAAGATATTCACAGTTACTAAAGGTGAGATCCCAACATGGCTATTTGATAAAAATAGATTCAAAATATATTGTGGAAAGATGATGGAAAGCAAGAACAACCAGCAAACAACTTGGCCCCACTTTAAATATCTTGGTTAATCACCAGAAGCAAGACTAGAGATTATTGTTCATAGATTCCTTTGATTGCACGAAGAAAATAGCCATACATGCTTTAATACTTTCAAAACTGGAGTATTCTTGCTCTGTGGGTGTAGATAAAAGGGTTCTGCATAAGAATAGACCCAGAGGGTATAGCGAACATGCAGTTATGATTTTGCACCTTTAATACACAAGGATTCCTTACATGCAACATATCATTCTTCATCTAGACAGAAATGACACAGAGACATATTTGTGATGTACAGAACATGATTACATGATGCTGGTGGGTGAAATATACAGCAAGATTTTCACCGCATCTTTTGATAGGTCAGGAATGTAACACTACCAAATGTAAGCATGTTACACATGGTATACACCCTGTGGCTGGTGTATACATTGGATGTCCCTGCCAGAACTCTCCCGCTCATGTGATACACATATCAATGCTGAGGATTTATCCATGGTGCCAAAATATTGATGCATTAATGACATACCTTTGAAGTCATTCTTGAATGTATTTTCATATTATGATTTTTGTGTGAAACTAGTTGATATATGTTATTTTTCCATGAAATCCGCAACTCAAAAGTAGTAAATAAAAACCTGAATCATATAACTTTAGTACATCGGACAGATTAATGAAGTAGTTTGACAGGGTGTTCTTTGACTCCTTTGGTAGTAATATAAGTAGAGAATGCCTGTCCTTACCTGGGTACAGTTAGGAAAACAAAGGGAAAGGTGATGCCTGGTGCTATTGTTCTCACAACCATTTGTTTTTATCCAGATATATTATACCTAACTTGTTCTCTATCTGTCTAAGATCACAGCCAAATTCTTGAGTGCACAGTTCAAGCAAAAAGAACTTTTTTTCATTGAGACACATTCACCAGGTCATTTATTTATTGTGTGAAACCCATTTCCTGTGTCCCCCGCCATGATGTTGCTGGAATATTGCTAAAAGTGGAGTAAAACTAAACTCACTCACTCATTTATTTATCAGTTGCTTAAGTTGAGGTAGCCATTTACTTACGAGATCACAGATGGTTGGAGTCTATACCTAGACTAGCAAACAGACAGGGTACAGTGTTTTGCTCACTTACTTGTTTTGTTTTTATATTTTTGTTTTTTACCAACACAAAATTAGAATTCCATTTTGACATATTTTGACCATGTATCACAGTAGATCTTCCAGCCCACTGGTATGACTCCATGTTATCTCTATTGAGCCAAGGATTAGCTTAATCCGAACTATTTTATAGGGATTTGTATTTTCTGCATTAGCCAGGTCTCAACATACACAATGTTAAGTTATATCATTTCCAAATATAGGTTTGTCTTTGGAGATAATACATACTACTGTATGATGCAGCTGAAGTTCATACCATCATGTGATGCAGCTGAAGTTCATACCATCATGTGATGCAGCTGAAGTTCATACCATCATGTGATTCGGCTGAAGTTCATACCATCATGTGATGCAGCTGAAGTTCATACCATCATGTGATGCAGCTGAAGTTCATACCATCATGTGATGCAGCTGAAGTTTATACCATTGTATGATACAGCTCACATTTATGCAATTGTGGGTTACAGCTTAAGTTCACTCCACTATATGATGCAGCTGAAGTTCAGACCATCACATGGTACAGCTCAAGTTCATGCCATAGTATACAGAGTTGAAATTCATACCAGTGTGTGATACATTTTTAACCTTATATGATAATGCTGAAATATTCCTGATTAAGCTCCACCCATGGTCCTACTGTTTTAGCTCCAATCATTATCATGCTGTCTAGTTACTACATACATATAGATGACAAAGGTGTAAAAACCAACTTAACACTAACTCATTCCTTTGTTTCTAACATTGTTGATGCTCTGCACTGGCTGAAAGTGACAGGTCCTTTGGTCCTGTGACACAAGCGATAATGTTGTTATAATGTTTTGAGAAATGTGCTGTAAGATAAGCTTTCTCTCGACATCCATGCAGTCACCTGTACATAACCAGTCAATCATTGTTTATATCATTGTCCAGAGTATGAAGCACTGCACTTCTGTGATACATTGTTGTGATGTTCTCCATGTCCGTGTCATTTTCGTAACTGCTCCAAGTCATCCAGGGTTCCACAAGTGATGTCAAAGAAAATGATTACACAGAGGCCAATCTTTTACACTGAGACACTGTGGTGTTTGACTGTATTTTGGATTACACTTTCCTTGTACAGTAAAAAACTTAGAACTTTTGGGAGTTAAGTCCTATCAGGGATCCAAACCCACGGTCTCAGAGTGAGGCATCAAATCTCCTGCACACAAAGACAGTGTACCCAAGTATACAGTTAATTATCTTCCTCTATTCTATTGTAGTGCCCTAAGTGGGTATTAGTACCTGGATGTAGCTACACAAATACCCACATTATTATTAGTAGTAATTACATCTGACAACTTCCTAAAATGTATTAGCTGCCGTATAGCTGGAATATTTCTGAGTGCGGCGTAAAACTAAACTCACTCACTCACTAAAAGGTACTGTGTATTGGCGCCATAATTGACCAGAAAATGACCGTAACTCCTTAAATGCTGTCCTGAGTGTCTCCATAGTGATAACTGATGTGCAATACTTCTTCTTAAGTAAAGTGATGGAACTGAATACCTGTTAATACAGCACAGAACCCATCTCTTATCCTGCATGCTATATGGCAGCTGGATGGATCACATGTGCAACACAGTAAGCAGTTTAAGAGACCTGCCGAAGTCTGTGATGTATATCTCGACTCGTCCACTACTATACAGTTTGCAGTAGATCTCATGAGAGCCTCTGTAATGGGATGATATACAGACATGGATTTTAATGTTCAGTTGTGATTTGTATTGTATTAATATGTTCTGGAGTAACGAAGATCTGATGAATGAATGTAAAATGACATTGTTGGTTTGTTATTTATTGTTAGAGCCTCAATAGATGAATGAATGAAAGTTTCAACCATATGTCATCTTCATTAAAACTAGTATTTCACATAAATTATCAAAGTAGGAAGTTGTTTTAAATGTTATTGACTGACTTTCATGTTTGGCATAGGGTAAAAACATAACACTTGAGAGATTAGTTTGAATTTGAAATATGGTTTTTCATTTGTTCAGCTTTGTAGATAACTCTGGACAGATAAATTACAGTACAAGTAGAAGATTTCAATATGACAAATACGTTTTTGTCTGTTTTGTTTTCTAGTATTGTATAGTACCTTGTGTACCTCAGTGGTATTATGTTACTTTTAGTGAAGAACGTATATTGTTGCTATCATATCAAATGTAAGAATTCCTACTGATGGCTGTTAGTGTACATAGCTTGTGACAACCCACCAACCAGGAAAACATGTTCTACAACTCCCCTCACAACTATTTAACACCATCTGACATCTTCCATCCATCATACCTGAAAATAGATTAATGTGGCTCATTACTTGACAATGCAATTAACACATCAATTTTTCACAGCAAGCTACAAGTCTGGTGACCCGTGGAGAATTGGCCCATCCTTAACTTAAAAGGTGCTAAATGGGATCACATGGTCAGGCTCACTTGGTTGATGCATGTTATCGTATCCTGATAGATGTTCATGATTTTAGTCACTGGATTGGTTGGTTCAGACTAGATTTACAGACAATATAGCTAGTATATGGAATAACTAGAATTTAGTGTTAATAAACAAACAAACAAAAAGGATGGGGAAGCAGCTCACCTCCTGGTATTAGAAGAACTTTGTTCTGCTCGACCAGATTGTAATACCCAGTTTATTAAGACATTCAGGAGTTGAGTTGACAAACAATTGGGCGATGGAATTAGATGCATGCCTATGAAATGACACTTGTACTCTGTCTCCTGAAATCAAATGTATAATCCTTGTTTCTTGTTCCATCCAGAATCAGTATGACAAAGGGATGCATGTTTAATATATTGGTTTAGAAGTTGGTGAGTAATAAGAAAGTAAGACACTTTATATGTAACAACTTCTTTATTATATATGATGCGACATTTCGGTATAGATTCTTGTACCGTTGTCAAGCAAGAGAGACAATGGTATAAGAATAGTTGCTTGGCAATGGTATAAGAATCTATACCGAAACATCGCATCATATAAAATAAAGAAGTTGTTATTATAAAGTATCTTACTTTCTTAGCATATTATTGAGTTACATTGCATTGTGTTATTGAAAGGAGTGGACATTGATATCAGTATACTGACTGAGTGTATTCAGTGGAGAACTTTTAATTTTTGTCATTAGTAAGAGCTTATAATTTTTGTATTATTATTTAAAGTTTTTGACTTTATTGTAAGGACTTAAGTATTTCATGGTGGCATTTGTGTGTAAATGTTTTGCATCACTTGTATAAATAGCTGCAAAAATAGCTGATTTCAAATGAAGAAATGTTCACCATTGTTCAAATATTCAAAATATTTTGTTGTACAGTGTAATAGAGAGCTTTCTCAAAACATCTGCTTCCAGGAAGAATATATTCACTCTGGTATTAATATGTTCAAA